CCCGTGTTTTGAACCCCTCCAGGGATGGGGACTCCCCCACCTCTCTGGGCAGCCTGGTCCAACGCTCGACCACTCTTCCCGTGAAGAACTCTCTCCTGATATCCAATCTAAGTCCCAAGGATCAGACTTACCCGCAAGCGCGGTGCGAGAAGGGACAACGCTGATGCCGCAAAACCGCCCGTGTCCCACTGCCGGTCACCCCTCCCCAGTCCACGTTAGGGCTCGACTGCTGACCTCCAGCACCTGGATAAGAATTTTTCTCACCAAAAAAGCCCTTTACAGCTGCCCCATGAGGTTCCTTCCATCCCTACCAGTCCTCCAACAGCCCCCCCCGAGCTCCTCAGCCGCCTCTTCCAGCCCCAACAATCTTTCTCCACATCCGGTCTTCTTTATAAAGGCCTTTATTTGACTTAATAGCAAACGGAACACTAGTTTAAATCGAGTGTACGTAGTACACTGTTTACAGCAACGAAGCGGCAACATGGTTTAGACACGACCTACCTCTCCCTCCCGCCCGCCGCCAGGCCGGGCCGGGGGTTTAACATTGCCACGTGGTGGTTTAGTGGGTGCCGTAAGCACAGACGTTATTCGGACGATAAAAACAAGTCATCGAATATGGATGAAACGTTACAGAAGTGGGAGGGCAGGGGGAATAAAACGGAAAAAAAAAAAAATAATAATCCGCAAAAATAGAGATTCTCTTAAAGTTATTGGACTAAGGGAGGATTAAGATTGTGTGTTAAACACTGAGGAATCGGCCGTTAAAATGGCTACGCGGTTAGGTCTGGTTTCCTAAAGGATGCCTTTAATGTGGTCCATATGATACAAGCCAGCTAAGGATCCTAAACGACTCACTGTGGGTGGGGGGCAGGTTGGGACAGACCTGGGGGCACAGGCACGTGGAGAAGGGCCAGAAAAAAAAAACCCCAAAAAAACCAACCCCCAAAGAAAGAGAAAATAAAAAAAAAATCCACGACAAGACAGCAAATGCTGCTCGGTGCGTTTCTGTTCCCAGAAGCGGGGGGCTCCTGCGCGTCCTGAGAACACTTCTCCCCGCCAGCACGCTCCGTAAAAGCTCCGGAGACCCCTCGATGCCTCCGTCTTCACCTCCGCCTCTCCCTTGAGAAAACCTACGCTATTTTATAGACATCGTCACTCGAATTCAAGAGAAGAGAGGAGGGAAAAAGAAAAAAAAAAAAAAAAAACAAAAAAAAACAAAACAAACCCCAAACCCTCCTGGATTCAATTCCACCCGCCCAGTTCGAGGGGCAGGGAAAGGGGTCAGAGAAGTAAAAAAAAAAAAATCTTCTTTCCATCCTCAACTTTACTACGAGGAGCACCGCACCGGGGACGCTTTCCCCGCCACGGACGGGGAACGCGGAGGAGGCTGCACCGGAGATCTCGGGACTCAGGCGGGGTCTCCCCAAACCTCCCTGCGCCGGCTCATCCCCCCCCTTCAGATGGGCCACGTTTGAAGGAAAGGTTTCACAAGTATAAAATCAAGTCAAATCACTCAAAAGACTCTGAATTTAGGACTAAAGAGGTGATTCCGATGGAGACGCGATTCGCTCGGAGATGCTAGTTTAAAGTTTCAGGAAAAAGACAGCACTCATTGCAGTAATACCACAGGGTGGGTTCCCTCCCCTGCCCTATATTTCCTGCTACTCTGTTTGTTTGTTTGAATCATAATACAATGTACATCTGTAGTAACGATACTCCGGCCAGAGCCCCCGAGGACGCCCTCGAGCGTCAGAAAGTCCATTGATCGTGTAGTTGGCTTTCACTGCTAAAGCTGTTACTCGCTGAGGCCTCGGGGTTTTGCGTTTGCCGAGTCGAATCTTCCCCTTTTAAGCTCTTCCTGCACACCGGACACGTGTCATGCTGCAAGAGAAACGCAGGAGCTTGAGGGAAATGCCACCGGGATGGCTGCTTTAGCCGGATGCTTTCATCCCATGGGACACGCGGGGTTTGGCTCGGAGATCGGGCATCTCTCGGAGCCCGGAGAGCTGCGGTCGCCCGCGGGCAGAGGCTCTTACCAGCTCTAACCACGGCACGATGCAGTTGCTGTGGAAGAAGTGATTGCACGGTAACTGCCGAACTTGCTCCGCTACTGTGTAGTCCTCTTTGCAGACAGGACACTCCAAACCCGTATCTGGAAGAGAGGCACAGAGCAAGGGGTGAAGCCGGCAGCGTTAGCTCTCCGGGAATACGAACTCCGGTCTTTACAAGCCAGGGTACGTTTGCATACAACCTACTGGGGACGGCAGCGTTCACCAGCCAGGTATCAAAGAAATTCCTTACGTTCTCTGCGTACGACTGGCAACAAAAAAAAAAAAAAAAAAAAAAAAAAAGAAACCAAACGAAGGGTATTTTCGCCGAGTCCTGATGAAAATTCCTCGCCTAGAAGGAGGGCAGTTTTGCAAGGCCGGCGGGGGACGCTTCCGTCGCACGTCCTCCTCTGCAAGAGGCTGCTGCGCACCGTCGACCAGGAGAGACGGCCAAAACCCGTTCCCCCGGCCTCCGCGCCCAGCCCGTAACGCTAGCGCAGACGTCCCGGCCGCGAGCAGCGGGGAGAGCGAGCTGCCAGCCTCCAGCAGCTGCCAGGCTGCACAGCCCAAGCTCCGTCAATTCAAACAGGCGAGCCCGAGCATTACGACATGGAAATTCAGCTGCTTCGTGGCTTCCCAGACAAGAAGAAGAGACGTGGGTATATAAAAAGCACCAGACAAAAATATCTGTTGTGGAAACAGCTTTTCTAATCAAACAGTTTGTCTTAATGGCACATTTTAGTTTCCAGTAATAGAGCAGCTCGGAGGGAAAGGGATCCTTTGAGCAGCCTTCTGCAAACACAGGGAGAAAAATCCCCGGGATGAGCTAATTGCAAAACCATAAACGTTCGGAGAAAGGCGCAGGTCTTTGCTGCCAGCTGCGCTGCAAGAACCCGCGAGTTTTACATGACATTTCCAGAGCAGTTCGGTAGGGACACGTTCAGAGCCCCATCTACCAGCCCTGCTGTGAGCCAATTTGAAAGGGAAGAAAGCGAGAGGCCAAGCCCGGCTCTAATGAGACCATAAACAACAGCACAAACGGTTTTAGAAGGCGGTAGAGCAATCAGGGGGTCGGCAGGCCAAAAAGGCAGCGCTTCGGGGACTGCGCAAACACTCGGCAGAACGAAGAAGGTCTTTGCTGATGGCCTGAACGGGCAGAGATCCGAGAGTCCCAGGAGAAGGGAACAGCAGAGGTAGCAGCAGCGGCAAAGCTCAGGATCTCCTGAGCTGGAAGACACGAGCATTTCCAGCCCGAGCCGGGACAGTAATTCAGGAGGACGGAGCAGCACTGTCCCACCCTCCCGCAGCGGCCAGGGAATCATGGAATCATCGAATCGTTGAGGTTGGCAAAGCCCTTTAAGATCATCCGGTCCAACCATTAACCTCATGCTACCAAGTCCACCACTAAACCAATTAAGGGCAGAGGAATAATTTCATGTTTCCTGCCTTGGTGGCTGGATTATTTATAATGAAAGTAAAACTGGGAATCACTAAGGTTGGAAAGGAGCTTCAAGATCATCAGCCCAACCATCAACCCAACACCCCCATGCCCACTAAACCATGGCCCCCAGTGCCACCTCTGCCCGTGTTTTGAACCCCTCCAGGGATGGGGACTCCCCCACCTCTCTGGGCAGCCTGGTCCAA